AACGAGTTTTTTTTGTGGACGATGGGGTAGCAGGGCTTTTTTATGAGCAGTTTTGGGGAGAATTAAACAACTTTTTCATAGTTCGGCTTTTGAAAGAGGGTTGTTTCATGGACTTCGGCCTTCGGCAGAGGGAGGGGGGGGGTCGTATTTCCAAATTTTCCTCGACGCCTCGCTTGACCCTGTTCACTATCTTAACGCAGCGCGATTGCAAGCGATGCACGGTGGGCGCATGCATCTTGCAGAAACCGGGTGCACTCACGAAATTCCTTATGCCTTGACGACAGCGCGGCAACTAGGTTTGCCGCGTTTTGCACGCCGCAATGGACATTGTGGCAACTATAGTTGCCACACCCTTTACATTCAGTTTTTTCTTGAACGCGCCATTTCTTCCCAGGTTTTTTGTGTTCATTTTTTAGGCCATACCACAACATAACCAAGAACCACGCGGCTTATAGAATGACCAAATATTCTTTAGTTTGGCAGAGGTTTTTCGGACCGGACGAAAATATCCGTTCAGTTCATTCCTCATTTTCTTTCATTAACACGAACATGTAGATAAAAAAGAATATTAGAAGTGAGTACAAAGCTACTCGTGTGGCAAGATATGTGTTTTTACCGAAACAACCACGTCCAAAATAATTTTGAAATCACTAAAGCAAAAGTAAGTGAAACTTGCCTTTTCAATGCTGTAACACATCATTCGACCGCACTTTCACATGTGTACCTTCCAATAAGTTTGACACACCGAATATCAGTGAAAACATTTTGTCGCATCGAAGTATTGCGTATTTAAAGCTCAAAATCCACAGATTTGTTGTGAGGCGGCGGCGCTCGCAGAAATCGCTCTGGTCCCACGCGGCCAAAAATGCCAAAACGCGCGATGTCGTCAACGTGTTAGTATATTAGTGAGGGCGCTGGACATATAAGTCCGCATTTTCACACAGAGGAAACTCATTTTGCTTGAGTTGTTCCATTTTTCGTTCCAAAAATGCCCATTTTCATTTTGGATAAGAAACATAGTACACTCATTACCAATAATGAAAATATTGACGGAGTAGTAATTACTTATGCAAGTTTGTAAAAATAAGGTGGATAGATGCGCATATAACGGCGTGTTGAATTGTTGAAGCTTTTCTCCGCCTATGTTGCTTGTTGTGTAACACAGCATTTTTCGTCTTCTGTGCTCGTACAGAACACATCAATGAAGCGGATCATCGGGATAGTAAAGCCGTGCTCTCATGAATTTTCCATTGCGCACCGATGAGATGTTGGAGCACGCTGTTTGCAGAAGCGTCCAAAACTGGAAAGGGTCTCGGTGTGCATTACCATTCAAGTAATAGTGTTGCTATCGAATAACTCGAGTCCGCTCTATTGACGTGCCTCTTGAAAGTATACCCAGGACCAGATTGGTGTGGTTACTGCACACGAATGCGAATGTACTGGTGCAAAATGGGCCGCCAGTAAAGAGGAAAG